CACTACAGGGGACCTATGTGCAATTACCCCTAAGAAAGATGCTAGCAAACATTAATTTCAGGCTAATGAATAAAGTTAACCAATTGAAATAGTAAAAGCTAGATGAATAAAAACTGAAATCATAGTGATATGGAGGAACTCCGAACTTATACAAGATCAAGAAAGCACCTGTTAATGTTATTTAGCATGAAATTTGTTGTTAAATTTTGGTTGATTAGAAATTTATTTATTTATATATGTTAATAAATTCTAGAAGATGATTTCAGAACCTTGTTTTTAGAACATTGTTTTCCATCAGTGAACAATATTTAATATGGTTAATATTTTGTTGTATGACTAATTTTTTTACTAATGTCTTATTAAATAATATGCATGTCAGGTGAATCCTGAGGCCCATCCTTAATGGAATACGAGGACATAATTCTGAATTCCTATACCACTGAAAATGAATGGTATGAGTTTTATAATTCATATGCCAATTTGAAGGGTTTTAGCATTCGAAGGGATAAAGTGAGATATGATAAAAATGGCAATCTTTATTATCGCAAATTTGTTTGTTTTAAAGAAGGAATTCGTGAAACTAAGCATATGGATAGAGCAGATAGAACATATAAAGAACGGTCATTATCCAGATGCAATTGTAATGCATGTCTTGAGATTTTTTTTTGATAATGAAACACGGAGATGGGTTGTTTATAGTTTAAGGGATATGCATAATCATGTGCTTGCAGGCCCAGATGAAGTTCCCTTTCTTCGCTCTCAACGAAGAGTTGATGATGTACAAATGGAAGAAATTCATATGCTAGCACAATGTGGCATTCCTAAAAATAAAATTATGGATTTTATGGAGTATAGAGACGGAGGTTATGAGAAAGTTGGTTTTATTAGAAAAGATATTTATAATAAGTGGGGGTAAAATATCACGAAGAATAATAGAACATGGAGATGCACAAACTGTATTGAATATGATGGAACAAAGAAAAAGGAAAGATGTAGATTTTTTCTATTTGAATAAAACTGACGATGAAGGCCATCTTACACATTTGTTTTGGGCTGATTCTCAATCAAGAGTTGACTATGAAGCTTTTGGTGATGTTTTATTATTTGACAGTACTTATCGAACAAACAAATATGCCATGCCTTTCATACCATTTATTGGTTTAAAATATAATTTTAATTCACCAAGTTACTATTTACATTCACCAAACCAAAGTCACAATGCAAAGAATAACTTTATGATTACCACAAATGCATTTGATTTTGAATAGAATAAAGAATAAGTACCTCATTTGATAACCATGCATCAGTTCCAAAGTTTCCACTTGCAAGCAAAGGGTTCAAATATTCTCCAGTGAGAATGATATCACCTATTTGAACAAAAGACTTACTTTTATCTCCTTTACTTACACATGCCTTGTAATAAGTTATAGCAATAACTTCATCTTGTGTAAGTCCTGGAGGTAGTAAGTCAGGATCTTCCTTTTTTGCTCCCTGAAAAGCAGATATGATTTTCTCTTCATGTGAATGTTTATTACGTTGGCACATGTTGATAGTATCCTCAACTTCCTTTGATTTTTTTTGTGCAAATGACATTTTTTTCTGTACACTTCTTAATGGTTTCATATTTTCTAATGTAGTTTGAGGCTTCTTGCTGCTTTCCCTTTGCTCATGATGAGGTGACACATAAGTCTCACCATTCATCCACTCTGAATCCATATTAAGAAGTTCCATATTTAAATCTACATGAACAATATTTGCTCCGACGTTACTACCATGGCTAAGTGGATTTCTCCTTTCTTTTTCAAATGATTCTCCTTTAAGACTAATGCAAATATTGCATAATTTTTCTTCAATTCTCTGCATATGATTCTAGAAACAGAGGTGATAAAAAATTAAGTTAGGATATGTGTAAAAAAGAAGTTTACAAGTAATATAATGCATAACCAAAATTTTAACCTTTGAATATAATTTGCTTTCTCTGATGTCGGATTTGAGCGTGGAAACATCATCTCTCATCTCGAAGATAGCTTGTGTAATTTCAAGCATAATTTTTTTTATATTATTTTCTAAGCAATGCACACTCCGTTCAATTGAAGCCATACGAAATGATAGCATATGTTTGTCAATGTCATCAAATGTTTCATCTGAAACCTCATCTTTTTCCTCGTCCTCTTCGTCTCTTTCCTTCTCCTCCTTCGCCTCTTTTTTTTCTTCTCCATGATTTGGCCTCAATCTTTGACCAGCTTGACCATTGAATTTATTTTCAAAAGTAGCATAATGTTCCTAAAAACATATTTACAAAGATAAAATTAAATATAATAGGAAGATTAAGTGGGTACTAAGCTAGATTAAATCTAAATAAAGAATCAATAGTTAAACCTCACATACCTTTTGATTGGATGTTGTTGTATGTTGTCCTTCTGAAGCCTGAGTTGTTTCTTGTTGCATGTAAGGCATCGCTAAATCAAATACTACTACTAGCTGTAAGAAAGAACATTAATAATGCACATTTGGTTTTAATAATATAAAATAATCCAATAACCAAACTAATTATCTACCTTTTTTTTGTAATTCATGATACATTTTGTTATCAGCACGACCAAATAAATTTTCATAGTTCTCTCTTGATGCACATCGCTTCTCAGTCCAATGTGCCATTATTGGAAGACTTTTAGCATTGTAATCAAAGTCATTACCCGGAAATCTGAAGTGCTCATAATACCACAGCTAATATAAATGACAAGCATATATAGTTATTATAAGATAAAATAGTAAAAACAAAAATATTAGCTCACTTAAATTAAAGAATTTACCTGTAACAGAAGCATACACCCATTTATGTACTTCGCATTTTTTTCCTCTGACTTGTAATGCTTGAAAATAAAAAGTCAAGAGTGAATCTAGCCCAATTGTATGAAGAGATTTTTTTGACATCAACCAGAATGTTTAGATAATATTGGGGTATATAATCCTTATCATTTATAGGAGTTAGCACAAGTCCCAGTAATAGAAGCACAAAAGATCTCTTAAAATGATCGTCTGCTCCATCAGATGAACCAATACAATTTATAAGGTGTCGGATTGTAATTTTCTTCGTGAATGGTTCAACATAATATTTCAAAATTTCCGGGTCAACACTTTCATTGCAAAGCATAACAATATCACCTTCAGCACGTAATCCCATCAAGTAAACGACATCCTTTTCTGATAGTGACACCTCGTAATCTCTTATTTTAATTATACGTGTTTCTATATTTACCTTAATCATTAACCAATAACAAAGGCAACGACGCATTCTTATATCAGGAATATGTAAAATACCTCCCAAACCCATATCCACTATCGCTTGTTTTTGTACATTTGTTAAGCCACTTACGATATTGAACATTTTTGTTGGATTGCAATAAATACCAATAGACTCCTCTCTGACATTTTCTGCATTTCAATTAAATATAAAAAATAAGTACAAGAAAAATAAAATTATAACTCCTAAATAAATCGCTTAAATATATGTGATTGTGACTTTATTTTTTTTTCTTTCAAAGAAGTCAATAAAAGTTTATAGCTGTATCACAGACAATTCCATATGGTAGATCACATCAATTTACTAGTTCAGCATCATATAATTTTTAAGTATTAGATGATGGAATTTATGACTCTTTGGACTATGAACTAAAACTAAAAGTCTTTAATTTTGCACCATGGCCATATGTTCATGTGTGATAGAGAAAGTGCATATATGCAAGCTGTAAGAACTTCTGTAGTAAAAATTGTAGCCGTCTTTTAATTAGCTTATAAACATGGAAATTATGTTTTTAATTTAGTAACTAAAGCGACTACATCATATTATATAATTAACATTAAAAGACGCCATGAAAGGTAAGTTTTACATCATATTATTTTAGGTAAGTCTTTATGTCAGGCGCCTAATATTCGTTTGTCCCAACACTAAAGACAATAGATCATATTATATAATTAACATTTTTTAAAAATGAAAAAGACTTACCTTTCATGGCCTTCACGAGATTTTTTGGAGACGGCGATCGAGTGCGGAGCGGCGTGAGCGGCATCTTCTCCAAATTTTTTTTTCTACAGGAAAGTGCGGCGTGACTTGATAAGGTGGTAAAAAGTTATAACGTGAATTGGAGAATTCTAACTAATCATAAATTTTATTTTTCTTCTAAATTGTATTTCCTAAAATAACCTTTTTACCTATAGTTAATTACAATTTTAGGTGTGGAACACCTCCTAACCGCCAAATCTATCCACCTAAAAATGTGAGAGCTATTTTTAAGGAAATTATTTACAGATATGCCATTGGTGCTCCAACAAATCTTTATGGAGCACCGAAGCTGTAGGCAATTTAAAATCCCTTGATTTTAAATCAACTTCCCAAATTCAAATCAAAGTTTCCAAACACAGCCTAAATAGATTTCAAAATTGCAAAATCAAACTCAAGTTCTATTCCTAATATTATACTCTTTATCTAGTTGGTCATGATCCTTGCCTAAATTATTTTCCAAAACCTAAATCCACAAGGCTCTATCGCGCGTCAAAAGTTAGGAATAAAATTGAGTTAATTTATGCGTTGCGGTTCACACGGATGGTCCGGTGGGTTTGGAATTGGAATTGGAATCAATTTGGGGTTGAGTCCTCCAATTGGCATGACTAGAGCTCGGGCTCTCCATCAAGCATGACTCCGTTGATAAAAAAATCAAGGGTGTGTTTGGGAACTTGGATTTGGAGCTGGATTTAAAATCCAGGGTATTTTAAATCCAAATATCTAGTTTGGATTCTGATTTGAGCCTAGATTTTAAATCAATTGATTTAACAAAGAAGAATTTGAAAGCCCAAAACAACTGATTTCAAATTCCACCCCACCCTTTGTCATTTATCAAATCCCAACCCGATCATTTGAGGACTTTCCAAATCGCGATCCCCTCTTTCTCTCTCTCTCTCTCTGGTTTCGATCTCCCCCTCTCCGCCTCCCCCCGCCGCCGCCTCCCCCCTCCTGGCCCCGCCCCTCCCCCTCCCCCCCCTGCCTCTCTCTCTGGTTTCATGTCCCAACCTAACGTCGTCTACAGGTATAGATCTTCATTTGCCCCCGAAACTTCCGAGGGTTTTGCTCTAATTTGTGCCTTCAATTTGTGAAATAATTCGATAGAGCTTCGATTTTGTTTATTAATACTTAGATTTGGAGTATTGGGGGCTTCTAACTAGAAATTAGGGCTTGATTAATTGACCCTTGATCGTCAAATCTCCGTTTGTTTTTTAAATCAGTTACATGGAATATAAAATTTAGCGATTTGCTTGAAGCTCTTAACAGATGCTGGATTCATTGGGACTAATTTGAGTAAGATCAGCTAGCGATTTGCTTGGACCTTTGGAATAATTTTTTTGGTGACAAGTTTTAAAATTATTATTATTAAAGGAAACTTTGGTTTTATCTTAATTAGTTTGATGGTGATGTTAGACGGAGGAAATATTTGTCCTCTACTAACTAAGAGTTCTTGCATTTTTTTCCTAATTTCAAAAAAATGTCAGCCAATCCCTACTGCTGCAATCCTCCGTATACCAAAAGATGACTTGTCTACATAGAATTTTAGCAACTATCTCCATCATTCTGATTCTGATTTAAATCCGTAAATGATGTGAACTGAACCATGCCAGGGACTTTGACTTGAGGATCAAAACTTAAATGAAAAGAATATTCATGTGCAAAGGTGATTAAATGTCAGGGGATTTTCCTGTAATTTATCTCTTTTTTTTTTTGTAGGTACAAAGGTTGGTTACTTGTTTTGTATGCATTTTAGAGAACCTTATTATTAAGGGGTCTTCATTAGTACGATGAGTTGAACAGGTTTTCATTGTGTTGATGTTCTCATTCTGGTTTGTGTGCTTTTTTCTTTTCAGCAAGAACTCCAAGCCGCAAATTGAGCACTTCTTCAAGCTCTTCTGATTGCCTTCTCATCCGTCAACAATTGCAGGTAATTTTACTGTTATTTTAATTTTGTTATGTCGTGATTTCTTATTTTGGGTCATAGCAAACTTGCATGTTTTGATGAGTAATCGGGTTAATAAACTGAATATATGAGTTCTTGGGTGTCGAAAGAGATATATATATGTAAATATGCGACGGTTTACACAGAGCTAATTGAATTCAGTGTCTGTGTCTGGTTTTATTTTGCTTATTTGATGTGATCAAAATTTCAACGAAGCTCACAGAAGGATTTACTTTGTTGCATCGTGTGAGAAATTAGTATGACCTGCTTAGTGAGTTTGCTCATAGACAAAATACACGCTGGAAATTGCCCTTTTGAGATAAAACTTGTGGGAAATATCTTAGACACGATAATATGAATTAAAACCCTTTCTTTGCTAGACTACCCTAAAACCTGCGGGAAACATAGAAAACGGGACATGAAAGCTGATAGAAGATGTGTCGCAAAGTTGTGTTGCCTGCAATTAGGTAGGTAGCTGTAAGATTTCTGTGGTCTTGATGAGTGAGCTACATTTTACCTGGCCGGAGCTATGTACCATGAAATTGTGAGATCTTATATATGAGCATCCTCCAAGGGCTTAATTTGCCTAAAGAACTGCACTTGATCAAACCAAGGTAGATTGTGTTTCTAGAATTACCTTGACCGCTGGCATGCAGTAGTGTGTTTTTACATAATTGAGCTTATATGGTAACATGTGGTTTCATAAATGACATGTAACTTTACTGAACTTCTAACAATGTATTTTCATAAATGACATGTAACTTTATGTATATTATGTAAATGGTACGCTTTTGGGACTGGTTTGTGTATCTGGATGACTTGAGCTTTTTATTTTATATACAGAGCCAGTATTTGATCTTTCCATTTGGTAAATGACCTGCATGGTTCTCTTGTTAGCATGTCACATTGAAACTGATTACTTCGCTTATCACAGCAAGCAATAAGGACCAAGAGTTCTGATTTGAAATTGAGATGCAACCAGAGAGTGCAGACAATGTGATATTAGCTATTGTTAAACATATCTATGTGAATATGCATTCTGGATGCATCGAAATTTTTAAACATATCATCTAGCCAAACCAGATCACAGATTTTCATGTTTTTATTACCAAGTTTCAATGGGTTTAACTGATATTAGCTATTGTTTCTCTTATCCAAATCCTTTTACGATCATATCCAGTGTGCTTTTCTCATAAGCAGTCTCAGGCTTTTCTAATGTCAACGATATGGGTTTTTTTTTTCGCAGGTCAAGCGTGATATTGTGCTGAGAGTGCTTGTGCTTTGGTCTCACCTTTTTCGGTTCTCATTGTCATTTGATATAGCTTGCTGCTTTGTCGAATGATTGTAGCTTATATGTAAGGGTTAATTGCATATACTCTCTGTGGTATCGTTTTTAAATTGCAACCCCTGTAGTGTACACTGTTGCAGATGTGCCCTTGGGTTAAAATTGTGACTGTTTTACCCTTGGACTTACTAATTTCTAGCTGAAGTCAAACAAAAGGATATTGGATTCGGTTTGATGTTATTTGGGCCTTCTATGTTCTCTGAGCTTATTGCCAGAAGTAGAAGGAATTGTTTTTGTATGTTGACAAATGATTCCTGTGAAGTTTTATGAGGACAAATGATTCCTGTGAAGTTTCTTACTTTTGGTGTTTGCATTAGTGAGCTGATATATTGTATTGAAGGTGGTTGTGCTTTGGTCTCACCTTTTTTGTTTCTCATTGTCACTTGTTGTGGTGTTTGCTTCTATGATGAATGATTGTGGCTTATAGTATACTCCAATATACTGGCATCTGATGGTTTGTGGTTTGGTACATTTGCTTTTTTATTGGATGTCTTTGTGAAAGATACTAGTGGAGAGTATATCAAAGTGATGTCCAAGTACGTTAACGGAAAAATTGAAAGATACTTATTATGTGAAGTGTTTTATCTGTTTGCTAGGGCCTCACAAAGTATCAGAGATGAGTTTAGCTATCAAATTACCTAAATTTGTGTTTTTTGGTTACTATTTTACACATCTCCATTGCATTTGATGTAAACAAGATGGGTTAAGAGAATAAATTTTTATCAATTTTAAATTCAAATTCATGTATAATAAAGTAAATTTGTGAAAGGGGTTGTGGAATTTGAATAATAGAGGGGTGTTTCTACAAAATCCCCAAAAGTTAATTTGTTCTGGTTGAAAAATTTTCTTTTTGAGGTAAATTGTCCTGGTTGAAATTAACCCTGTAAATAACATTGAGCTAGGATTAAGTAAGGTTAAGCATATATCAGTGCAAACAAATTAAGTAAAGTTTAGTAGTTCGGTTCGGTTTTAAAAAAAATTCAGATATGTTTTATTTTAGAATATTTGGAACTTAAATAACCAAACCGACTATTCTCATAAGACTTGCACTTTTTTCTAGGCGTAAAATAACGTTTAACTAATATTTATTTATATATTTTTATTGACAAAAATCCAATTATAGTTAAAATGAGTTGATTTGACGAGTTGGCCCTTCAACTTAGAATACAAGATGATGAGAGGTTTGAGGCAGCTAGAGAGTTGAGTTTTAGTTAAAACCACTCTAATTTGACATGTCTAGGCTCATATAGTGAACAAATTGAACCGCACCGAACCAATTTGAATCGATTCAATTCACTTTTGAATCTAGTTCAGTTCAGTTCGATTTTGAAAAAAAAAAGGGGTTAAAATCAACCCAACCTAATGTTTGCTCACCCCTAGCCCCTAGGAAGGCAGCAGACGGAGGGAATAAAAATATGGCATGAATTTGATTGTTTGCAGAGAGTCAAAATATTAAGGATTCTTGCAATTAATTATTTGTTAACGTGACCATATAAGCCATATATATAAATTTAAGTTTGATGATACTTTCTTGGTCTTTAAGGGGGTGTTTGTTTCAAATCCAATAATTTTAGGATATGGATTTCACCATAGGATTTGAAATCCATAGGTAATTTGTTATGAGTTGGGATTCCTAAAACTTTGTTTGTTTCAACAATATTTTGGGATTTGGAAAACTATAATTTATAATATTTTTGTTTGTTTAAAACTTTTTGGAATTTGAAATCCTTAATTTGTCTAATACTTTTGAAATCCACCCCACATCCCACCCAAAAAAGAGGATTTCACAAATTCTTAAATATAATATTTTTTTATTATTTGGGGATTTGATATTCTAAAATTTGTTTTGAAACAAATAAGTTTTATGGAATTCTAAAACCCAAAAAACCCACTTTTTGATCCTAGAATTTAAAATCCCACCCAAATGCCAAATTTTTTTTTGAAACAAACACCCCCTAAACATCATTAGAGTAAGATTTCCAGCCCGGATGCCAATTAAAATCAGGTCAAGTCTAATTAATTAAATCCCAAGTCCTACTCGGTCTCAACCTCGCGTAAACAGAAACTGCCGATACCCGAAATCTATAAATATACGCCAACGCCAAAATATTATTATCGTCTCCCGAATCCAAAACCCTTAAAACCTTGAAAAAGAACAGAGAGACAAAAAACCATGAAAGAAGAAAGAGATCCCGGCAAAAAACAACCCTTGGTTTTTGATGGAGTTCGAGATGTATACGCGAACAATGTGCATCAAGAACTCGAGCTGATGTCGGCCCTCCGAAAGTCGTTCAACTTCGTCATCATCGACACAGAATTCCCTGGTTTCCTACGATCAACCCCTCGCGGTGCATCCGAAGAAGAGATCTACAGCGCTCTCAAGTACAACGTCGACAACATGAAGCTTGTTCAGTTAGGGATCACGTTGTCCAATGGAAAGATCTCTCTGGCCTGGCAATTCAACTTGAAAGATTTCGATCACGAGGCAGACAATCGCTCAGAAGACTCGATCGAGCTTCTGAAAAGGAGCGGGATTGATTTCGACAAGAACCGCAAATATGGCATAAGCGCGGATGTTCTTTCGATAGGGTTGACGGAGAAACTGATAGCAGGCTGTGAAGGGCTGAAGTGGATCACTTTCCATGGTTTATATGACCTGGCTTATCTGATAAAGCTCGTCTATAAGATGCCTCTGCCAGAGACACTGGCGGGTTTCTTGGGGCTTGTTCGAATACTGTTTGGTCCCATGGTTTACGATGTGAAATATATGGCGAAAAGATGCAGTGCGTATTTTGCTGAAGTTGGGTTGGTTAAACTCTCGAAGATGCTCGGGATTAATTGGAGGGGGAAACCGCATCAGGCTGGCCATGACAGTCTACTGACCGCAAAAGTTTTCTGGGAGATGATGAACAAGTTTGATGGTTTCAAAGAAGACGAGCATGCTGGGATACTGTATGGGTTCGAGGAAAATGCGAGAAAAGAGTTGGAGAATCACCGTAAACTTGTAAAAAGTCACATGTCAAGCTTGTGACAACGAAGAATGAAAATACTCCTAAGTTTATTAAACCTAAACGTTTATTTATTTTTCATTTTAGTTATTTTTAATCTTTAGATAATACCGACATGCATGGTGTAATGTTGTAAAAACTTCAATATTCAGGGGGATTAAGTGGGACACCCCAAAATTTGAGGGGTTGAGTGAAATTTATCCAAAGATAATTTCCCTGCAAGCTTTTAAATGACAGGAACAACAAGGTAGAGATACACATCTTTCTCTATGATGATAATAGATACATATTTGAATCGGGAAAAGGGGACACAGCAAGTTGAGATGGGCAGTCGCTTAGACCTCCCATATTTTAAATTTATTATCCTAATCTAAATAGCACATATTATCTACCAAATAAACAGATATATGAAATTCAAATTAACAGATAAGGTCGACTTCTTCTATTCCGACTGAAATTCAAATTAATAAATAAGGTGGACTTCTATTTCGACTATAATTAGTACGAGAGCAACAGATCTTCAAACTATATATATATATAGGAATTATCCTATATATAGACCAACAATCTTCATCTCCCAACTCCGAAAAATCCAAAAGCCCAGGAAAAAGAAAAAACAAAGGGCGGGACAAAGAAGCCATGATAAAAGAACTCAACCTGCAGCATGTCAGAGATAAGGAAGCCATGATTCTTCAAGAAGTGTGGCGCCACAATCTGCACGAAGAACTCAACCTCATATCAGAGCTCCGCAGGTCGTGCAACTTCGTCTTCGTCGACACGGAGTTCCCGGGCTTCCTTAAGCCGGCTCCTCACCGTGCCCCGAGAGAAGACACATACAGCGCTCTCAAGTACAACGTCGACAGGATGAAGTTGGTGCAGGTAGGGATCACGCTGTCCGACAGCAAGCGCTTTTTCACCTGGCAATTCAACTTGAAAGATTTCGATCCTGAAGTAGACAACTGTTCGAAGGACTCCATCGAGTTCCTGAAAAGGAACGGCATTGATTTCTGTAAGAACGGCAAGGATGGGGTGAGTGCGGCCGTTCTCTCGAAAGGGCTGACGGAGAAACTAATAAGAGGATGCGAAGGGCTGAGGTGGGTCACTTTCCACGGTTTATACGACCTCGCGTACCTGATAAAGATCGTCTACAAGATGCCTCTGCCGGAGACGCTGAACGGTTTCTTGGGCCTTGTGCGGGAACTATTTGGGGCGATGGTTTTTGATGTGAAATACATGGCGAAAGAATGTGATGCGCGTTTCGCCGAAGCAGGCTTGTTGAAGCTGTCGAGGATGCTTGAGATCAACTGGAAAGGGACCTCTCGTCAGGCCGGCCGTGATAGTCTGCTGACGGCGATGGTTTTCTGGGAGATGAAGAAAAGGTTTGCCGATTTCAACGAAGAAGCGCATGCTGGGGCATTATATGAGTTGGAAGAGCATGCGAGAGACGAGTCCGTGAATGTTGCGACGACGTCGTATGATCGTGTGGCTCCTGTCAGGGTTTCTAGGGGTCCAGGTTCTGTGCCGTTTGGCTATGCTATGCTTCCGAGTCCAAGTTCTATGCCCCCGCATGGTTATCCTCCAGTAGCCGTAGGCTATTGCCCTCCACCTTATGGTTACTGGCTAGCTCCAGGGCCTTTTTTTTACGCTCCGCCGCAATGACGAGTTTGCGATCCAAGCCAATTTTGAGTTTGACAAGTTTTCTTATTTTCTTTAGTAATCAGTTGGGTTGTTTGCACTTGTCAATAAGTTCATTTTACAGGCAGCAGAGATGTTCGGTTTTGGGTTTCTTTTGATTCTGTACGTGGTCACACTTGCTATGAGAGATTAGCAAAGTGTTGGAGAATATTTCAATGTCTTGCCATTCTGTATTTACCTGTTAAGTCATGGCTAATTGGGTAGTTCGAGAGCCTTTTCATTATGTTCGATCTACTGTAATAATCTATCTATATGATCATTTTTTTTCTTTCAATGTATGCAAGCATTTTTGATGTTATTTGGGGAAGAGTGAGTTTGTGCTGCGAATGCTATAGTGATATATAAGCTTTGTTTTCCATTCATCTGTTGCCTTTTTTATTCGTATTGTCTTCTGATCGACCTTGCCCTGTTTATCCATGGTTTAGCTAAAAGAAATTACTCATTATACCAAACAAGAAACCAACTTAACTAGGGTACTGGTATTTATATCGTATTTTTTACGGTATCCAGATCAGAGGTCTCACAGTAATTTAAAGCTTCTCAGATTTCGATCCTCTTCACTACCACAATAGTGGACGAATACATTGATCTCAAT